GCCCTTGGATCAGCAGCCTCGGCCCCTATAAATAGGAGGGTGCGAGACCTCCCGGGGGTATTTTGAAAACTTGTCACTTTTAGCCCCTAACCCATATTTCTTTCATTCTAACATCCCCCAAAGCCCCAGTATCAATTATAACCCCCGGAATACGCCACGAAGTGCCCGAGAAGCCCGAACAATTTATCTTTTCGGTTTCGAAGCCCGACCTTCGCAGAGCCCGGTTTCTCAATAAAACTCCCGGTTTTATTAGAAACGATCGTTTTAGGAAACGAATTGCTGCCCGATTTTCATCAAAACATGTGAGTGTATAGTTACTTTCACTTTACACATAGATATGAAGTATTTACCTTAAAATACGTGTTATGTGTAAATATATTAATTGTTTATTTGAGGTGACTGTTGAATAGATGTTTTATACAAGTTTTAAACTGTATATGTATTTTATCTACAAATATGTTGGGTAGAACATGGGTAGACGAAATAGTCGATGGGTGTTAAAATGATGAGAGGCCTCGGTGTTGTTGTTGTTGTTATTGGTGAAGTCGTCTAACGGAGTATAGATGACGACCACGGACCTTTCTAGACAGTCCAGTGGCACACTAGCAGGTTCGCAACTTGTAGGTGTTGATGAACTAAATGTTCATTTGGTGTACTCCAATCCCCCTCATGGTTGCCTTTAGGACATGTATGGCTGAGGAAACCCCTTAGCAGTAGTGTCCATCCCGATGATATTCCTTAGGCTAGGTCCCTTGTGATAGACGTTTAGGGACATAAAGTGAGGACAACGGGAATGGGTAATCAGGGTTATTGTTGATTGGTGAACTTAATAAATTTATTATTATTGTGGGTTGAAAACCCTATATGCTCATCAGGCTCCCAAGCTTGACCCACTCAGCTTTTTATGATTACAGGTAGTGGACCCCGAGCATAGTCGGAGGACGATGAGAGATTTTTGGATTATAGGCCAGTAGTTGTAAATAACTGTTGTAAGGCTTATAATGTCTTGTTTATGCTTTTGATCTGTATCGGAACATGACATCCCGAGGTTTTGATATGAAATGAAACTATACATTTCTTATAGAAAGGTTTTAATAAACTTTTATCATGTTTTGTTTTGGGGACCTATTCCGCAACATCTTTTGAAAAGATTTCTCTGATTTTATTTTAAAAAGCATAAATTAAATCGGTCTTTTCTGGCCGAGAAATTAGGGGATGTCACATTACGGTACTTCCATAAGCACCATAATAACCCATAGCAGATCATTCTTAACCGTTGTATCCTTCTTGTGCCTCGACCACAGTTATCAATAAAGTTTAGTAAATCATTAACGTTGTTGAACGATTGATTAGGTAAATTACACCACTGGAAAATATTTTCTCTAATCAAACGAGCGAATGGACAGAGAACGAGAATATGGTCAACACAGTCATCTCCATTAATACACGCTCCACACTCTATCGATGCAATCTCCACCCCCTCAATCTAAGGGCAGTTAATGAAGGAATTTTCTTTTGCATTGCTCTCCATATGAAACAGTTCACTTTGATTGGCACCATTTTACACCAAGTAATATTGGGTAGGATAGGATTTGGATCTGCTTTCTGGTCAATGACCCTCCTTAAGGCACTCACAAAATATTCTTTATTGGAATCAAGTGTGCATATCCAATTATCATCCCTATTTGTCAAACTCACCATGGATAGATCCCGTTGTAGATTAGAAAGTTCCTCACCCAACCCCAATTGACGAGGACAGGACTTCCAATGGCCTTCAAAGGCCCCTTCATAAAATCTATCAGCCACAGTGCACCGTTTCCTAGATTCAAGAGCGTAAAGAGAAGGGTATTTGTTTTTTAGTATCTCCTCCCCGACCCAATTATCATACCAAAATTTGGAATTATCACCTGATTTAATTTGGAGTTTGAAAATGTCACTGATCTCAATGCCATGTTTTTTGAGGTCTTTTCTTACTGATGCAATGTTGTACCAAACACCCCTGATGTTGTTATTTGCCATATAATCATGAGCTTTATTATTTAGAGAATGCAGCCCTTTTACAACTCTTCCCCACAGTGATTCTTTCTCCTTCTTTAAGCGCCACCACCACTTAACTGTTAAGCCAATATTCAGTGCTCGGATTGATCCAATACCTAAGCCACCTGCAGATTTTGATGCCACCACTTTATTCCAGGAAACCCAATGTATTCGTTTTTTTTCCTCATCACCGCCCCATAAGAATTTCCTTCTTATCCTCTCTAGTGCTTCTGTGACTGCCACCGGTGCGATGAAGAGGGAAAAATAGTAGGTAGGCAAATTCCCTAGCACAGCAGAGATTAGTGTTATGCGTCCACCAAATGAGAGGGATTTAGACTTCCAAGATGTTAATTTCGATTGGAATTTATCGATGATGGGTTTCCAATTTCTTATGAGATTCATATTAGCACCTATAGGTACTCCAAGATAATTGAATGGAAATGATCCAGAGTTACAACCAAGGATACTAGCCCAACTCGAGGTTTCAATTTCAGAAGCACAAATTCTGAATACCCTAGATTTGGAGAAGTTAACTTTGAGCCCAGACGCAACATGAAAGCATTTAAGTATTCGATCAAGATTTTTGAGATTAGGCCTAGACCATTCCCCAATGAATAAAGCGTTATCGGCGTATAATAAGTGATTTAACTCGGGTCCACCGTTAGGTATTTGAATACCTCTGAATAACCCTTTATATTTGGCCGCTTCCAAAGCAGCATTCAGTCCCTCCATTGCGATTATAAATAGGAACGGGGAAAGTGGGTCTCCCTGACGAACGCCTTTGGAGATCTCAAATTCGTCCGTAGGTGACCCATTGACTATAACCGAGGCACGAGATGAATTTAGACAACCCCGTATCCATAACCGCCATTTGCATCCGAAACCCATCTGAGAGAGAACCGAATCTAGATATTCCCAGTTTACTGAATCGAAGGCTTTATCAAAGTCCACCTTGAACAGTAATATCTTTTTCTTCACTTTTTTTGCCCATGAATATAGCTCGTTAATCACTAGTGGGCCATCAAGTATGTTTCTATCTTCTACATAAGCAGACTGTACTTCACTTATGACACCACCGATTACTCTTTTGATTCTAGTTGCAAGCGTCTTCGAGATGATCTTGTAAATACAACCTATCAGACTGATAGGACGATAATTTGATAAAGAAGATGGATCTTTGATCTTAGGCGCAAGGGTAATGAATGATGAATTGCAACCACGTGCAAGGGTACCGAATTTATCAAAGTGTAGAATACAGTTGAACACATCAACCTTGAGGACGTCCCAGTAAGTCTTGATGAATTTGAAAGTAAATTCGTCCGGCCTGGGGGCCTTTTCACCACCACATGCCCAAACCGCTTCTTTTATTTCCTCTATTGTGAAGGGTGCATCCAATCTGATAGCATCCATCATAGATATTGATTTAAGATAAGGACTAATCAGTTTGGGTCTCGATCTCCTAGTTTCAGTGAATTTGTCTTTGAAAAAATTCAAAGCTTCCTTTTTTATTTCGTCAACTGATGAGACCCACACCCCGTTCACCAACAGTTCATCAATCTTATTTTTCTTGTTGTTGGAATTTATGAATCCATGGAAGAATTTGGTGTTTTCATCGCCTTCCACCGCCCATTTAACCCTTGATTTTTTCTTCAAATCTAACATTGCAATTCTTTCAAGTTCCATAATTTTTTGGATACCATGGCTGCGAGTATCTAATTCTTCGTCAATAAGGGTTCTAGATTCCGCTAAGGACTCTAGTTGAGCAACTTTGGCTCTTATGTTGAGAATCTCCTGATTTTCGTTTTTATCCACCAAGTTCTTCCACTTTTTAATCTCTTCTTTAAGATACTTCAGTTTGGCTCCAAGGTACGCATCTGAGTTACCGAATCCAATAAATTTGTTCCATGCATCTTTAACTGTGTCTTCAAAACCTTCCTTTAACAACCACGAATTGAACAACTTGAAGGGAGGAGGTCCGTGATCCGATAAGCGAGAGATCATAGTGATATGACTATGATCAGAAATTTCTCTTGGGTGGGTGGTGACGACAAGCGACGGGAAGACATTTAGGAAATGTTGACATGCCAAGAATCTGTCAAGTTTGCTCAGTTTAGCATCCACCCTTGTCATGTATGTGAATTTTTCTCCGCCCATGTTGAAGTCATGTAACTCCGCTTCCTGAATGAATTTGTTAAACGCTGAGGCACTAGAAGAACAATATAAGGAGTTGAATCTCTCATCAGGTCGTCTGACTACGTTGAAGTCACCGAACATGATCCAGTTTCCTGGATGCAAACTTTTTATTTCCAACAGTTCCTGCCACAACTCCTTCTGGTCACCAAGATTATGAGGTCCATATATGTTCGCGAATATAGTGTCTCCATTGATACCAATCCAGTCACCAATAACAATTAGCTAATTTCTTGATTTTATTGCCTCTTTTTTTTGAAACACCTGTTATTCCACATGGATATTAATCCTCCGGATCGTCCAGTTGAATTCACTCCATCATAGTCGTAATCATGATTTCCCCAACACCCTTGAACATCCACCTTTTCGTATTCAAGTAATTGAGTTTTCCTGTAGCCCAATGAAGTTGACTTTGTGACGATGTTTTAGCCTATGAACCCAATTAACTTTCATTACCTCCCCGATACCTCTAATATTGAGAGAAAGGCAGTTCATTGTAAACCATTTTGCTCATCGGATTCGCCCACAACATCTGCAAGCCCTGGGTCTTGCAAATCAAATTGAAATCCAACTGCACAACCAATTTTGACAGTTTCTAGAATATCACCTGATCGCGTATCTTCATTGCAATCTCCCAAAGAATCGAAATGATTTTGATTTCCCAATGCCTGATTTAGGTTAGTGGCAACCGGATCTGGATGCGAGGGACTTAATTGACACTTGTCTCTTTTCCTTTTTTTGTGTCGTGGTCCTCCACTGTTAGAGTTCTTCGATTAGGCCAATGATGATTTGAAAGAGAATGGAGAACTTTTGTTGTTTGGAAATAGGCCAAAACAGCCAAGAGGTACTAAGTTTTGAATCGGCCCAATATCAGGGAGTTTACTGGTATGTGCCACCAAGATAGGTGTCATGTGCTCCATATTCTCATTAATGCAAAGTTGGGTTCCAATGTATTGATTTTGGGGGATTTCAATCGTTGCCGACGCTTTGGGAATATGAAACTTGTCATTAGTGTTGTCGACACGATTCTCAATTATCGGTGGTTCCGTTGCCGGAAGGTTTGTTCCGACCGCCTCAATGCTAACCGGATTTCCAAATGCGCTTACGTTATTGTTGTCGACACAATTCTCGATTATTGGTGGTTCCGTTTCCGGAAGGTTTGTTCCAACCGCCTCAGTGCTAACCGGATTTCCAAATGCACTTACGTTACCGTCGACTTCCACCGGTGACTTCGTCTCTCCCTGTTTTTTACTATCATCGTTAGGTCTAAAATCTCCTTCTTCCTGTTCTTCGACTGCCATCCATGTGTCTGAGACACCTTCAATATCCTCTTCATCATCAGATTCCTCTACCTTGTCGAATGGTATTGGTTTGAATGGAGACCAATCGTCTGTATACTTGACTACTCCAACTTGATATTCTACACCATCGGCCACAATTGTTATTTCTTCGTTGATCCATTTCCTCGCTGAAGTTATTACACCGACCATGCCCATGGAGTAGTCTCTTCTGGTTGAGATGTTATCAAATGGGTTGATGACCTTGCCGAATCGTCGTGCAATGGTAGAAAAGTTGTTTTCGTCCCATAATGCTAACGGGACACCAAGGATTTTAATCCAAGCTATTCTTTCGTATTGCAAATCATGTTGATCCGCACTTACAATCCACTTGAACCAATCTCTCCATCTTTTTTCGTCACGTAGGAATTCCTCAGCGCTGACTGAGTATTTAAACTTGATAGCAAGTCTGAGGCCACCTAAATATTTAGTTTCATTTTTCATTATGTTCAGAGTATGCATCGTTCCCATGTGGTCTAAGCTATGCATTTCACCTATTAATACACTCTTTTTGATCTATTCCTTCATAATAGTTTGAGAAGCGAGCACAATTGGAGGTGGTTTGGTTATATGTGGCCTTTCCACCGTCCCTGTCAGTGCTTGTTTGTAGGATCTGGAGTCTATGTTGCTAGGAGGTTGTGGCTGGGCACTAGCAAAATCGGAGTTGACTTTCCTCATGGTAATAGGCTGTTTGTGGACGACATAAGTGTTCAGTGGGAATGGCTTACGTTGGTGCTTTGCAATGTTGACGGATAGCACCTTGTTCTGACATTTGATACCCTGCAACCTTTCCTCCATAGCTCTGACGTTGACCACATCCACGAATCTAACAAACGCGAAGTTGTTCCTGTTGTAATCCTTTTTGCCCCCCAAGTATACGTCCACTATCTTTCCGTACTCACTAAACAGTTTACGTATTTCCTCCTTCCTTATACCATCAGGATATCCTGTCACGTAGAAATTCGTGATCGCTCCTTCGCAGTGAGACTTTGCATTCTTCTTTCGCCGGACTTCTGTCCACCCACCGGTGGGATGGTGACCTTTCATATTAATTCGTCGCTATGGAACAACTTTTTACACAGGTGAGTTTGTTTTCATTCTTATAAGTTCAATATTTACGCAAATTGTCATATAGATTAAATTTTGTTTGTTTATTAATTATTCCTATTTTCTTAGATATGTCAGACTAGGTATATGTAAACAATAAAAAAATATACCTCTTTATTGTGCTTGTGTCTTCAGAGTAAATGGAAGCAATTAAATATGGAGAACTGCAAAGCCTTTACCATTCTCGGTCAAATCACCTACACACACATATATCACATACATACACCTTTAACTTTTTGACTTCTCCATAACATTACCGGAGAAAAATAACTCTGATTTCTCAATTCTTGTAAATCTAACCTTTTGTTTTTAACGATAACGCTTGAAAACCATATGAAATGCTTGTCGGAAAATATCTCTGCCGAAATTCGTGACCAAAAAGCACACCTAGTCGTGTTGAACTCACCGGGATGCCTAAACAGTAGTCGGAAAAGCTCGTTGGAAAACATCAACAGAAAAACATCGCATACTCATATATGATTTACATTATGTTGTGATTGGTGATAGTTTAAACAAAAACATTATCGGAAAATGCTCATGGATGTCAGTTTCTGATACCTGACAGAGGAAACGACGATGAAAGAAGTCGCCGGAGGAGAAGAAAGGGAAGAGATCTGGCGGATATCTTAGATCTGATTTCGTTGATGAGAAGAGGAGGACGTGGTCCAGATCTGGTGCATTCGAGATCTACCTTATCTTAGTGAAAATCTGGTGGTTTTGGTGGCTCTCCAGAGCAGATCTGAAGAAAAAGTGGTGGCTGGTCGGAACAGATATGTCGTGGAAGGAGGACACGACGACGATTGTGGCGGTTCACCACAACAACGACAAAGACGAGACATCGGTGGTTCCAGATCTAAAACTCTGATGACAGATTTAAGTGTTATCGTCGGTGGTCAGAGGCTGCGGCGTGGAGGTGTCGTCGTCGGCGGTACCAGTGGTGAGGCGGTCGTCGATGGTGGTGGATGTGGTGGTGTTTATCAGAGATGCTTGAAGGAGGTGAGAGGATATTTATTTTGTTTCGGGAGAATAATGAAGAAATGGTATCAGATCTAACATATTACATATGAGTGGTTCTTAGGGTTCTTAACCTTTAGTGTTTCTCATTTGAACCTTACCTATATATATAGATATTATATATATATATATATATATATATATATATAATATATATATATATATAGATATATATATTATATATATATATATATAGTTAAATTTTTTATGTTTTGCCGCTTACATTTTATTTTATTTATTTATATTTCTAAAATTTTATTCGAATATATTTTTAATGTTTTTTATATCTTGTTCGTTTATATTTTTTTGACGTTTTATTTGAATAAATTTTCTAATTTTTTTTGATGTTTTGTTCGAATATATATATTTTAATGTGTTTTTTAATCTTTTGTTTTTATATAGTTTTATAAATATTTTGTGTATAAAAAATATAAAAAAGGTTAGTTAAATGAGAATATGATTAACACATATTAGGTATATAATTATTTATTTCTAGAGTTATTATATAGGCTAACCGAAATTCAAAACTGTTAATGGCTTCAAATTCAATTTTTTTAGTTTTATAATTTTTTGAGAAAATTACAAGAATGGTCCCTATGGTTTGGGATAATTTGCGTATTTGGTCCCTAACTTATTTTTTTAATTCGGAAGGTCCCTACTGTTTGTTTTTGTTACGTGTTTGGTCCCTACTATTTGTTTTTGTTACGTGCTTGGTCCCTGTCTTACTTAAAAAGACTATTATTTTAAATAGGGAAAAATGATAGGATAGGTAAGATAAGGTGTAGAGGGTGATGTTAGAGGGTGTGTTTATTTAAATAAATTAAAAAATCAATGGAAAAATAGTCGGTTTAGGTAAGACAGGAACCAAGCGCGTAACAAAAACAAACAGTAGAGACCTTCCGAGTTAAAAAAAACAAGTTAAGGACTAAACGCGCAAATTACACTAAACCATAAGGACCATTCGTGCCATTTACTCTAATTTTTTTTACATTTTGTTCCAAATGGATAATAATTCATATAACTCAAACACATGTGTCAATGTTTTTGAGTTCATTTTTTTTAGAAATTTTGTTCGTTTTCGAGTTATATGGTTTTCCAATTAGCCTTTATATAACTTGAAACCCTTTTTCGTATTTCAGTTAGCCTATCTATTAATCTTATTAAAAATATTATTTTATTCCTAATCTATGTTAATAATATTCACATTTAACGAACTTTTTTTTTACATTTTTTACATAAAGTATAAACAAACAAAATGTCAAAAAATTAAAATTATTCAAAAAACTCGCCAAAAAACCAAAAAAAAATTATTCAAGAAAATATCATAAAACTATAAACGAAAAAAATGTAAAAAAAACATTAAACAATATATTCAAACAACACACCAAAGGGGTTTCAAGTTATATAAAAGCTAATTGGAAAACCATATAACTCAAAACGAACAAAATTTCTAAAAATTAAAAAAAAATGAATTAAAAAACATTGACTCATGTGTTTGAGTTATATGAATTCTGATTAGCATTTTCCATTCGTAATGAAATGATTTTTTTTTTTGTAAAACTAAAAAAATTGAATTTGAAGTCATTGACACTCTTTTTCAATTTCGGTTAACCTATACAATAATCCTATTAAAAAAAAAAGTCAAAACATTAAACTAACCTATACAATAATTATATACCTAATATGTGTCAATCATATTCTCATTTAACTAACCTTTGTATATTTTTTATACAAAAAGTATTTATAAAAAGCTTTACAAATATATAAAAAAACAAAAAATCAAAAAAACATTAAAAGTTATATTCGAACAAAACATTAAAAAAAATACTAGAAAAATTATGCACATAAAAAGTCAAAAAAGTATAAATAAATAAAATATAAAAAAACATTAAAAATATATTCCAATAAGATTTAAAAAAATATAAAAATCATAAAAAATATAAATAAATAAAATAAAATATAAGCTGCAAAATATAAAAAAAATTAAACGATTATATTATATATATATATTATATATATATTATATATATAATATATATTATATATCTATATATATATCTATATATATATATATATATATATATATCATTGTTGCGGAAATCGTGATTAATCGTTTGACGTTCTTCAACCGTCGATGATTAGGGTATTAATCGGAAATTTAGGATTAATCGGGTTTGGCGGGATTAATCGGTCTTGGCGAGATTAATTGGTCAACAAAAGTCAAAAAATTCGAAAAAAGTCAAAAAAATTAAAAAAAAAATTCTAAAAAATTCTGAAAATCTACTTTTTTTTTTTACTCCAAAATTTTTCAAATTTTCAAAATTTCAAATATTATATCAAAATGTTCATATTTTCGTATTTTCAAATTACAAATTTTCTTATTTTCTAATTTTGAAGTACTTGTTTTTCTTAAGATATATTAATATTTGATTAATTTTAATATTTTATTAATAATCTATGGTCTCCGATTAATCCCCGATTAATCCCCGCCAAGACCGATTAATCCCTTAACATCAGTCGACCGTTGAGCTACCGTCGAACGATTTTTACAACCTTGATATATATATATATATATATATATATATCTATATATATATATATTATATATATATATATATATAATATATATATATATAATATATAAAGAAATATATAAAAGTAAGGGTGAAATGGTCTTTTTAAGTGGATTAAGAATGTGCAGTGCAATTTCTTTAAACTACAGGGATGCATCTTGTCAAATTTTCAAAGGTTGGACTCAATATGCGAATATGACCAAACCATAGGGACCAACACTGCAATTTACTCTATAAAGAGGGACAACTCCACTGTGTAGTGTTGGAACTGTCTCATTCTGTTTTCATGTCCCATATTGCTCTATATTCACGCTTTCCACATTGTTTCTTTTGGAGGCAATCACGCAGGTTAGGCCTCTTTCAATCTGCCATTATCAATCGTCTCCGATCACTCGATTTCATTTGAGTTTGATTGAATTTCATGTATTGTATTTTTATAATTGCGTATTTGTATTGTTTCAACTAATTCTCAATCATCATTTTGATCGACGTTGTAAATTCAGGGTACGTACTTTGTGCTTCGATTTTCTTACGATCATACTTGATTTTGATTTAGGAATTAAGTTGTTAATATATTTCGTTTAGTGAACAATTGAAGTTCATTTGAGAATTCCGTGAATACTAAAGGATTTTTGTTATTTTGAGTGAATGTAAGGATATTGGCTATCGGTTAATCTTATGTGTAAAAGGAATAGGCTCTAAGTTGTTGGATTAAGGTTTTTTTTGGTCTGTTGCCTTGATGATCATTCGGATTCTCTTCTAGCACTCTCGCATTATGATTTAGATAGTAGCTGATTATTGACTTTGGTAAATCAAGGTTACAATTTTATGGTTTGAGAAAGTAATTATGAGAGTGATTGATTCTTAATTGGCTAAAATTGGTTACAAAAAGCACTAAATTGATGCCATCATATGATTGTGAAAGCTCAACTATTTGTTTCATAATTTTTTTTTACTAATTATGTATTAAAAAAAGTGTGAAATTAGAATGGAACTTTTATTTATTTTACTATGAGATTTTGTTTCTGAAATGATATCTAATTGCAGTGTTAGACATGGGTACCATATTTAAAGCAAGCTTGCTCTTGTCATTCCTGTTGTTTCTTCTCTCACCTCCCGCATATTCAGCTTCTAATGGTGGATTGGTTAGAGTTGGACTCAAAAAGAGAAAAATCAACCAATTAAACCAAACATGATGCCTCAAATGAAGGGAATTCCGGTCTCCATGGCAACTTCAGGGATTCAGACACTGACATAATTTCTCTAAAAAACTACTTGGATGCTCAGTATTATGGTGAAATTGGTATTGGCACTCCACCTCAAAAGTTCACTGTCATTTTTGACACTGGAAGT